GCAGAGCGAACTTACAGATGAGGAACCCTCGCCGGCTAAGATCTCGTGATGCGACTAGACACGACGCTCTGGAGAAGTCTCCTTCTGCACAGTAGTGGATGAGAGTGTCAGTATAGAGAACAGCAAGATGACTAGGGTTTCGAGACTCCGTCTGGCTTATTCACGTTTCACTACTAAATCAAGTAGCCGAAGGAAAGGAAAAACTATTGAAGCCGAAGCAGAACGAACTTACAGATGAGGAACCGTCGCCGGCCGAGATCTCGTGCTGCAACTGGACACGGCGCTCTGGAGAAGTCTCCTTCTACACAGTAGTGGCTGATAGTGTCAGGATAAAGAACAACAAGATGACTAGGGTTTCGAGACTCCGTCTGGCTTATTCACGTTTCACAACCAAATCAAGTAGCCGAAGGAAAGGAAAAACGAATGAAGCCGAAGCAGAGTGAACTTACAGATGAGGAACCCTTGCCAGCCGAGATCTCCTGCAGTGTCTGGACACACTGGGTTCCGCAGTAGTCTCCTCCTGACCAGCCATGGAGGAGAGTGTGAGGATAGAGATAAGCAAGAGGAATGGATGGCCTGGCGGCGGGCAGAGGGGGAAGAGTGTGTGGCTAGGGTTTTGAGACTCCGTTCGTCTGCCTTAAATAGCCGGAGCCTGGCCTCGGGCGACGAGCGAGACCGGCGTCACCGGAGGGGACGTCCGTCGGACCCTTGGGTTTCCGTGGTGACGCCACGTGGCGTTCACACCCGAGTAGGTGGAGACGCCCGTCGAAACATTGGTTTTCCGCAATCAACGCACGAACGTGGCTCCGCGTTAAACACAAGTATGCCTCCCTCGGCGTCCCGACTGTGCCTGTCCTGGTAATATAGTCAACGGATGCATTTGGAACACAAAGAGACACAAAGGTGACTCTGGATAATTACAGGTCATGCGTTTGTGGGCTTGACAACCGTGCCAGTGACCTGAAACTCTGACACACATAAAGTCGTCTTCATGCGTAAAGGACAGTGACGCTGCTAAACATATAAAGTCGGCTTCGTGCATTTGTGGTAAAATCTTACAACAAAAACAATTGTAACAAGGACAGTTGCACGATTCTATTAGGTTTCCGTAATAAACGCACAAACACGACTCCAAGTAAGAACAGACTATGCCTCTGTGGGCTTGACGTCCATGCCTCTCCTTTTGACCGAGCGCACCGACTCATTCGGAATACAATCAGAGAACCTTTATGCGTGACTCTATATAATAGCATGCCATGCCTTTGCGGGATGTATGCCCGTGCTTGTGACCCTAGACATTGAAATACAGATAGCCACGTGCATCGACGCCTTTATCAAGAAAGAAGCGTGACGCAACTCGGTACTATGGACTTCACGCTTGTGCTTTTAAATACAATGAAATAAGCTTTAAAAAACAGCGTCTCTCATATAGGCAATTCCGTGCCTCACAGGGTAAACGCCCGTTGCTGTGCCTAAGACAAAGGTTCAGTTCCGTGGGCTAGACACCCGTGCATCTCCATCCGGTCGAGTCTCACAGGCGAGCATGACTCTATGTAATACCATTGAACATGCATAATAAACACATGATTGTGACCCTGGCTAATACTAAAGTAGGCCTCCATGGGCTTCTCGTCCGTGCCTCTCCGTCTAAACGAGTCGAGTGAATCATTCGGAACACAAACACAAGCGAACATGACTCTATATAATACCACACGATGCCTTTTTGGATTTGACACCTGTGCCTGTGACCCTATTGACTGAAACACAGAGAGTCATAAACCTACATAACCATGGCTATAGAAAGTTCTATCCCATGCCTTCGTGGGCACCACGTGCGTGCCCGTCTTTCCTACCGAGTACACCGTGCTTTCGTCGTTGAATAGATTAAAGCACTGAGGGGCACGCCCATGCCTGGTCTGCGTGTGCAACAGTGCATTTCGTACCTTCAAAAGAAAAAAAGAAAAAAGTAATTAATCTGGACCCCTCCACTCCCCGTTGTGGCTATTTAAGTCATTTCGTGGATTGACAGGCTGTAGTCCATTTCTCCACATCCACGCCACATATAGCGGCGCTCGGAGGTGGCGCGATCCCAGCAATGGAGACGGAGATGGAGGTCTACACCGGTGCCCCCAGCACCAAGAGGGCGAGGCTTGTGCCACTGGCGACGCCTTCATCTGGTGGTTTGGCGGTAGCGACTGGAAGCGTCGAGGGTGCGCCTACTGGATCCGAGGATCAAGAAGAGCAGTCTGGTTTGGACCGCATCAGCGACCTCCTGGACGGTGTCCTCGGTGAGATCATCTCCCGTCTGTCCACTAAGGAAGGCGTTCGTACTCAAATCATTGCATGTCGGTGGTGCCCTGTTTGGCCCACCGTTTTTATGAATCTGGACTATCATGAGATCCCTGTCGCTCGTATTTTTAAGCCCTTAGAAATAGTTCATGTCGAAATCATCAGTAGTGCCTCTGCCTATAGTGAGGAGCTTGCTCGCATATGATACATCGGAACTTGGCATCAGGGAAAAATAGTTCCTGATGATGGTTCGTCCCTTCCAGAGTCCATCTTCTCCAGCCATCTGGGCACAGTTCTCCGCCTTTGTATACCAACATGCTACCTCCAATGCAGACCGTCTACTGTCCACGCCTGGCTTGAGTCCCCCAGATTGAACAATCTCCAGGTGCTTGATTTTTACTACCTGTTTCCACGATTCGTGAAAAAAACTGTCAAACTATCACACACATGCTCTTCATCTACGTCTTCACTACCGAAGTCTGTCTTTCGCTTTTCCTGTTCTCTGCGCACTGTGAGCTTCGCGTTTTGCCAAATACCAGACCATTATGTAGAGGTACTACAACTACCACTGGTCAAGAGACTTTTGCTTGTTGAGGTTGATATATCAGACTTCTCGTTGCAAAGCATAATCAACTCTAGTTGCACTGCACTCGAGTGCCTTCTGCTTGTTTGCAATAGAGAAAGGCATCGGATCACTATAAATTCCCCTAACCTTGTAAGCATCGGCATCCGTGGTGAGATAGGAGAATTCATCATCGAGGATGCCCCCTTGCTTCAAAGGTTGATCCACGATCTCCAGAGCATTAACATGCAGGTATTCATCGTCTCTACACCTAAACTGAAGACATTGGGCAAATTCAGGATCTCGCATGGCTCCACATGTCTTATGGTACTGACATTCCACAATAATTCCAGCTGCATTTCCTTAAGAAAGTTGTTTCATGTCACCTAACCTTTTGTTGTAACAATTTTATGTTTTATTTTGTATGTTATGTGAAGGATTTGGCGACGGTCAGATTATCTACAATGCGGCAATCTATCAAAACCTTGTTGTTGGGCATGCCTTATGACGTGGACTGGGTCGTTCACTTGCTTAAGTGCCTTCCAAATTTGGAGAACTTGTTTGTTGAGGTGATGATTCTCACGCCCAATGAAAATCTCTTATCGTACATAGTGCAACACTCCTTGCATCTAAAAAATCTTGTCTTACATTTTGTCTGCAATGGATACACCCTATGCCTAGGCATGTTTTTTTATTATTATACATATATCTGTATCTAGGGAAATGTTCGACGAACTGATTGGGGCGGGGGTCAAGGAATTTATCGTTCATTTTGCCATTCAATAGATCTTGAGTATCTTCCAACCTTTATGCGTTTTTAGGGAGGAAACGCTCCTGGTGGTGCAAGAAATTTTTGGCATCACGAGCACCGTGCGTTTCTCAAAGAACACACCATTCATTTAAAGACAGTACCGCTGGAAGATTATGAAAAAACGGGAAGAACATTGAGTTTGTGAGGTTCTTTATTCTGAATGCAACGGAGCTAGACACTATGAGGATTAAGTTTCGCTTTCCCTCAGACTTCACGCAAGAATTTTACGAACAGCAACAGAAGTTGTTCATGTGGGAGAATAAAGCTTCCAAACACGCCCCTCTCAAGTTATCAGCACGCTGCAATCATCTGTGCTTGTATTTGAAACACGGGCGTGTTGAATGCCTCGATTTGTCAGATCAATTCACTTGTGCCTGCTGGGCACAGGGCTGTAGTTAGTTCCTCAAGCTAGTGCAGTTAGATGTTGTTGCGCCAATCCGAAGCTGTGCTATGTCTAAACATGGCCAAACAATCCATTCACCTTTGCACCATTTTGTAAGCTTGTTATAACAATGCTTTTGTGTTATGCACCTGCTGTTCTGATAATATGATAGTTTTTTTCATTCTATCGTGATGCTACAAAAACATTCGTGTGCGGTAGTCGTCAAGGGAACAAAAACATTTGGAAGAGAAGAGGCACTGCCTTGCCTGTTCTGCAGGGAGCGTGCGTCTAGTGCATGAGACCCAGTGCGTCTGCAGTGACCGGACGGCACTGCCTTCTTTTGTGGCAGACTGTACGTGCACATGGTCGTGACTCTGCTTAATCTCAAAACGTGCTCCCAGCAACCTCAGATTGTACATGCCTTTCGTGTAAACGCATGTCCATGAACGAGTTTATGTCTGAGTACAAACTATCGAGTCACGGAGGCACAGATGTGCGTCTGCATCAGGAGTAAGCAGGACTCTGTAGATTGTAGATTTTATGTGTGTCAGCGCTAGTGCAGTGCTTCTGTCTCACATAGGACTGTGCCTTTGACAAGTCAGTGCCAGGTTATCAGAGGCACATAGGACTGAGCCTTTGACAAGTGAGTGCCAGGTTATCAGAGGCATGGTTCCCCATGCCAAAGCGGCATATGTGCCTTGCTAAATTACAGTAACCCATGCCTCATTGAACGGTGCAAGACGAAATATTGTTGGATGCGCCTCGCTAGCAGCACGTTTCTTTGAAATATAAAATATCCAGCAGATCAATATTTGATGTGCATAGACCGTCACACACCCTCCCAGAGATTGCAAAAAATGAGATACATGCCTTTAGTCAAGTAACCATGTCCAAGCATAAACTTATACTAGACAAGTATCCCTTGCAACGTTTCGGAAGAAGGCAACTGTTAATGATCATTCTTCGAGGATTGCCTTGATCATCAGGAGGTCATCACTGTTCGCAAACCCTTGCCCCAAAAGATCACAGATGACGCTTTGCATCTTGCTTCTATTCTCCTTTAGCTTATGCACCTCCTCCTTCAGAAAATCCCTGTCCAGCTTAATATCACCCTTGTCGTCCTTAAGATTATGAATGGCACTTGTGAGAGACCTCTGAATGCGCTTGATGTCTTTATCAAAGATACCCATCTGCTTCTTCTGCCTGTCAATCTTCATGGTAGTTACATTACTTCTTTCCACAGCTGCAACAAGATTCTCGAGCTTAAGGTTCACTTGTTCGATATCCATTTTAAGCCTGCTTATCTCTTCATCCTTTGCTTGCAACATTCCCCAGAGCTTGAGTAGGCACCTCTGCATAATGACAGGCCATGGGCGGTCAACCCATTTGACGACTCCACAGTTCACGCCTCTATGCGAACAAAAAGGAACAAAATAAATAGAGACTATTAATACAGTGCTGCACGAGCTCTGGAATATAACAAAGTTCACATATACTGGCTTCATAACCTCATTCAACTAACTATGAACCGTGTTTGTGCAACGTGGCGCGTGAATGGTTAGGTACCCACAACACTAATTATGGTACTTCGCCCACCCTGTCCGCGGAGTTATTTCATAATTGTACTTAGTTTCTTTTAAGCCAGCTTGAATTAATCTTGAGCTACCTCTGCAGTCAAGTTATTTAGATTTTTTTTTGAAGAATATACTGACCATTAAACAGAAGTCTCATTTGTAAACAAACATGAGAGTGTCTAGATCACTTCTTTTGTTTTCAGTGATGTAAAATAAGTAGTGACCTTTAGCCTTTTATGTAAAGTAAAAGGACTACACAATGTTTTCTACAATCAACCGAAAAACACAAGAAGAAATAAGTCTTCTTTGGAAGATTTTAAGTCGTATATCCGAACAGTTTGATTCAATAAGAAAGTAGCTCGGATTTTCGAAAGTGACTAACTATCACAGCACATCCGTAGAACCTCCTCCCTGTGTCACTTCCTTCAAAAGCCACACACCTGAGAGGCATGGTATCATGGAGAACGCAGTAGAGAGGACAGTCGAGCTCTTTGACACAGAAATCATGGTCCTCGATGGTATCAGGGTTCTCCTACAAGGACACATGAATGTTTATAGCTCAGATCTTTTGTTTGGAAAACAAACCCCAGTTTAATGCTCCGCATGTAGCAGGATATCACCTACATAGAAATGAAAATCCAGCTCAAGGAAGTTCAAGCCTTCCTTCCTCCCCTCTTGTCCGAACTTTTGTGTCGACATGGCTCGGAGGATGTGAGCAGATGCGATGCCGTAGGCGGCGTCGAATTCGAGAGGAGAGAGAGAGAGGTAGAGAGAGAGAGATAGAGAGAGAGGGGGGAAAGATACAATGAGAGAGCGAGAGGACTTCGACATGGTCCGGCTCGACCAAATACTCCACCTACTCGCCAGACCCACCAACCACCACCCACATCCCCGTCCTCTTTTTCTTTTGTGCTGGGATGGCAAGGAGCCATTTACTGTTGTCAGTACTAGTTTCAACTTTGGAGAGCGAGTACAAAAAATTACTTCCCTCTCCATAATTACTCCATAAATACATCGTTTTGTTCGTCTTCTCTCCCGAGTCACTTGCTCTTCCGCTCCCCTTCTTCTCTGGTACCTTCCGTCTTTCTTGCTTCGTCTTCCTCTCTCTATAGTCCACATAGATGGATCTACGATTCGCCCACTTGCTCTGAAATACAGTAAGTTTTCTCCCTTCTGCTTAATACTTACGCCTTCCGCGCTGTGTTTTTAGATGGATTCTTGTTTTATGTTACCCTTTTCATATTATTTTTTGTGTTAATATCTTACCTCTTTTAAGAGGTTCTATAGGGGAATAATCTTGAAGGGCAACATTTGATTTTTTTTCCAGTTAGTTCGCTGCAAGCTTGTAGATTTGAGGAGCTCTGTGCGTGTTTTTTCATTTTTTTACAGAGACACTAAGATCGAGGGATATCACCATAGCACCATTCGTTCCGCTCTATCTTACTCGTTGAAACAAACATGTATCAGTGATATACAATCCTTTAATTCTTTGTGCCATTAGTGGAGTGTTGAAACTTTTTTTTAATAATTAATGAACCTGAGTCTTACATATTGTTATATCTCGCAGACAAAGATGGCGTGTGATGTTTGCAGGAACCTCAACTGTCCCGGTGTTGAATCTGATGTTGCCCAATCTTTCTTGATTGTGTCTTTTCCTCGTTCTTATGAGTCATGCCTGGTAAGTTATCTTTATTCCGCAGTCAGCAACCACACTTGTTTGTTCGGAGCAAACTATACTGCGCATGCTTGTTTTTATTTTATACGCCTTGATGTAATGTAATTAGAAGTTCAATTGTTTTGTATAGGTTTAATTAAATGTCATAAATGGTGGCTGTGCCCGTGCCTGAAAGCCAGGAAATTTTAAGGAAAAAAACACTTTCATGCATTTTTTTCTTCTGAAAATCAGTAAAACATTTATTTACCTTTGTCTTAATTTTACTTTTATACAATATGTCCCATGCTACTACCGGAACCAGGTCCTTTCTTTGGTCTCTTTATGGAAAGATGAAGCTTTCGATGATGGTTTTCAAGACGAAGATTTTGACCTTGTGTTCGGCACTACTGAGGAATTTTCTTACAAGATTAAGTTTACAGATTACAACCACAGGTCTAAGTTTCATGGACCTGGATGGGAAAAGTTGATACGTGACTATGATCTGTTTTATGGTGATATTATAAAATTGGATTTGCAAGTAGAAGATTTCTTCTTTCCTATTGACTTGATGTTGAGTGAATCTCGAGGAGGTCACAAAACGTTTCCCAAACCTTCTGTTGGTATGTTCTGATCGCTTATCAATATTTGTTTTCATTTAACATTTATCTATTATAATTTTACTATGGCGCGCCATTGATATCTATGTGCTTAATCTCTGTGATATAATGTCTTAAAACTTTCTTTGTACTCACAATGTAGTTTATAACTGTAATTTCCCTTTTAAAAGCCAATATTCGTTTATTTTAGTTTTAACTGCTTTATTCACTGCTTCACACATGGTGGCTAATACATGGCTGTATTTACTTAGCCCTCGAAGGCCTCAGTTTATCGGAAAGGAGGTACATAGACGAGATAGTCTACACCCGGGGCATAAAACTTTCCTATATTGACATGGCCTGCATGATTAAACTAGTCCTAAATGCTAAACACATCCCTGCCATTACCTTTGTGCACCGTCTATGTTTCACCAACGTTCACACAGACCGTTTAGTACGTCGTTGTTTCTTTCTCTAAACCACAGCCAACATGCGTGTCTTCGTAATCTAATGCCAGAATAATTTGTTATTGTACAGAAAATCCCAGCTATTGTTACAAATGATCCTAGGATGAAGCTTGGATATTTTCCTCTCAAGGGCAGCATCAGGCTTGTTCAACTTTTCAGCAGCATTGATTTGCCTGGCACCTACTGTATACACAAAGATGGAAGGATGGCGATCACCGCGATTTCTGCTTTTGCAAATGCAGCCAGGCTGACGGTTGATTGCGTTGTACTCATCAGTATCGAGTGGCACACTATGCGCGGGGAGGACTCGCTCTCACTTTAGACCACATAAATTTGAACTACTATGGTATTAAGTTAAGTATCATACGTGTGTTATTTCAAACTATGAGTGCAGTTGAAATCCTCGTAGTACATACCTAATAGAACTTATCAGTTGAAATTCTTATTCTGACGATGGTACTGAAAACAGATGCGATTTTAAACATGGTTGTTGTTGCTGTTGTTGTTGTTCTGGTTGTTGTTGTTGTTGTTGTTGTTGTTGTTGTTGTGGGCGTGTCTCTTGGTTCAACATGTTTGCTCAGAGAGGCACTTGAACCTAGTGCAGGTTCAGTCCTGTGTTAAGAAGACTCATGGTCATGCCTCTGTGCTTTGATTAACTTAGCTGACTTCGTGCAGTAAGAGAGGCACAACCATGAAGTTAGTGAAGGCACGGTCATGTACTATAAGAGGGTATGGCCGTCCCTCCCAGTTGTCATTATTTCAGCTGAGTCGTGTCCTCAGATAGGCACGTTGGTCGACCAAGCGGAGGCACGGTGCCATATTAGGAAGAAGACTTGCGGTCGTGCATCCCATGTCAAAAAGAAGAGCTGCGATCGTGCATCCATGTTCAGTATGTTTGTAGTGACACGCTGCTCGGAGAGGCACGTGCGTGAATCAATTGGAGGCATGGAGTCCGACTTGTTGCCACTGTCCGATGTCACTATTCTCGCAGCGACATCACTTAAAAAATACTACTACTTTTTTCTGATAAATGGTGTTTTGCAACACCTCCGTCCTCCAAACCGTCTTTCCAGATCCACCGCACCCATCGCTCCTAGATGGAGTCCGATGCTTCTCGTAACAAGAGGGCAAGGCTCGTGCCACCGACGACGCATTCCGCTGGGTGTTTGGCGGTACCGGTGGGGACCGGTGAGGGTCCGCCCACCAGATCTGAGGAGCACGGGAAAATACTCGTCCTGACCGCATCAGCGATCTCCCGGATGTCATCCTAGGTGAGATCATTTCTCGTCTCCCCATCAGGGATAGCATCCGTACTCGCATCCTTGCTCGTCGATGGTGTCCTTTATGGCCCACCGCTCCTCTGAATCTCGACTGTCGTGAGATCCCTGCCACTCGTCTTTTTAAGCCTCTAGAAACAGTTCATATCAAGAAAATCTCCGTGGCGCCTCCTACCTGGGAGCTCGCCCGCGAAAGGCACTTCGGAACTCGGTGCCCTCGCAAATCTGGCACTAATGATATGACCCTTCCGGAAGCCATCCTCTTCGCTCATGGGGGCGCACTTCACCGTCTCTGCATACCGGCATGCTACCTCCAGTCCAGACCCTCCATCGTCGATGCCTGGATGAAATCATCCAAACTGAAGAATCTCCAGGTGCTTGAGTTCTATTACACGTTCCCAGATTTCATGAGAGAGTGTGTCGTACGACCACTCACACAACCATCATCTGCGCCTTTTGCACCGGCGTCCTTCTCTCGCTTTGCATCCTCCCTACACACTGCCACCTTTGCTCTTTGCCAAATACCAGACAGTTACATTCAGGCTCTTAAACTACCACTGCTCAAGAGACTTTCACTTGTGGACGTTGGTATATTAGACATCTCGCTTGAAAGCATAATCCACTCTAGTTGCCCCGCACTCCGGTGCCTTCTGCTTACTTGGAATATGGAAAGCCGTTGCATAAGAATAAACTCACGTAACCTTCTAAGCATTGGAATTCGCTGTGGACATGGCAAACTTGTTATAGAGGATGCCCCGTCACTTCAACGGTTGCTTAACGATATTATCAGCAGCAACTTGCAGATAACTGTCATGTTTGCACCTAAACTGGAGACTGTGGGCAAATTCCATGATTTTTTCTCTGAACCCAAGGTCACGCGTAACCCTACAGTTATCCAGGTACCTAGTTTTCAGCTGCATTTGTCCGAGTAAACAAATTTCATGT